CACTATGTTCAGTCTACCAGGAAGCTGAAAGGGCAAAAACCTAGGAAACGTCGTATGTAATTCTAGAACCAACTGAGTGTAGAAGACAATACGTTCTTCTTTTGGATGCTTGTCTGAGTTTTTTGTATAGAAACTGATTTAAAGATCTAGGTAGATAACCCTAGGTATTCACCATGGATGAAGGTTGTTAATATCCACCAAAGTTTGAAGCCTTTTAATAACTGCTTTTAATCAGCCTGAAATTTAAAATTATGCTTCCGTAAAGAATATCTATAAGATCCTTTTTTTTTTTTGAAAAAAGGTATCCACAGTAAAATCTATTCATAAGCAAAAAATGTGTCAAAATGGTTTTATCTCAGACAGCCCCTAATCAACAAGTCCCTTTCCTCTTTCACTGAAAGGATCATTTAAATGTGAATACGTTTTTTTGTTGTTAGGTTATTAGATTTTGTGCAGATTGGACAAATAAATACTTGGTTCAGATTAAAAACTCCTCTAGACGTTTGTCTATGGGATAAAAATCGTATGAAAATTAAACACATGCAGAGGAGTGTAAAAATAGTTTGTCAATATGGTACTCCAAACTTGCCCGAAGATAATTATCATTGCCTATAAATACATGTTTGAGGTTTGCTTGAATACGTTTTTGTCAAAAAGAGAAAAGTTATTCTCTTGAAAGGAACTAAGTAGTGCCTAGAAATCACTATCATGGTCTGGAGTGAACTAATCACTTTATCCTCATCCCTGAACACATTTATCCACCTCCTAATTCTTCACCTAATTAGAGGGAAATGCAGAGCTGTCCTGGTCAGGGAGGTGGGGATTAGGGTTAAGAAAACACTTGTATTTGGAACCCCCTACCTCCCCTGGTCAGTGTGAAAGATTCTCAAAGAATCTCCCAGCCTAGCTAATCCATGACCCTCAGCAGGGAGGGAGTGTTAACAATTTAGTTTAAAACTCACACTCTCAGACAAATGCATCAAAAACGGCTTTTCTCCTTTGATTTGTAGGTATTAGTTGTTTTTCCAGGCCCCATTAAGGACTCTTCATCCTGTACTGCAAGGGGCATTAAGCTCTAGCAAGTTAAAGTTGTTCCCAGCTCTGTGTTATTCAAAGGCAATTTACACTAATTATCCAAGTCCACAGCGTTCTCCATATTAGCGGAATGAACCATCTCAGCAGGTAAAAGTACTTTTGAAATGTTAATTTATTACTAAGGTATAAAAATGTCCTTGAATTAAAATAAAGTAAAAAAAAATTAACAGCAATTCAAAGGATGAGACAGAGACATTCCTACCCCTTCTGTTGTTTAACGCCTTCATAATTACTTGTCTTCTAAAAACACAGGTTATCAAGCAAATGGCAGTGCATTCTCTGACATTGTGGTTAATACAAAGACCTCTCCTAGTTTGGTATATTTTTCTATCCCATTTGCCAAAGGAGGCCGAGTGAATCCCCTAGCTGGACTGCATTCAGAAGTAGTAGTGTGGTTTTGTGCCTCAAAAAACCTGCTCATGGGTGTTGGATGCTGTTTCTCAGTCAATGACATTTTGAAAACCTCTTTAGTGTGCTATTGCTTGATTAGAACAGCTTCTCTGGTCTAGAGGAAAAGGTCAGTCTCGGTTTCTTTAGGGGCATTTGTGGGTCCATCCCGCAGGTGTTGGTGCTGGTGCTGGGAGTTCCCCACTCTACATTTTCTAGGTCGTCCCCACAACAAAAATGTGTATTATACAGTCAGAGGCTCTGGTTTCCTTTCTAGGCTCTGCCTTTAATTCCTTCCCAAGTGGACAGGTTGGGGAAGAAGGAAAGAACGAGTTAACTGAATTAGACTCTGCAGTATTGGGAGAGATCCTACTGCTCAGGAAAGAGCCAACAACCAGGCTCTCACCATTGCAGGAAGTGCCAACAGCGACCCCTCATGGTGACCTAAACCCTTGGCCGAGTGCCAACCCTGCAGTAGCTGTGAAGACTACTCTTCGTTCATTCATTCATTCTACAAGCGTTTGTACACAAATGTAAGAAACAAGCTATTTCCTCAAGCTGTTCAAAAGACGTGCAGGGTCATAAACTTGTAAAGCAGTAATAGGGATATGAGGAGAGTGGTAGTGGAATTCACAGAGAGAGAGCCATGCTGCCCAACAAATACAGGAAACCGTTTATAAAAGTGAAATAAAGATCCTCAACGCAGAGAAAGTGAACTCAAGATTGAAAACCTAGCAGGTGCAAAGGCACTGAGGCACACAACAGCACAGCACATTCAGAGACCTGAAAGTGATGTGGGATGTCCACACTGTCCAGAGCCACAGGGAAAGGAAGACCTGGGAGACCAACCTGGAGAGGTGTGCAAGGGCTCTGCTCAGCTGCCCCAGAAAATGCTGTGCATCTTCCCATACACTAGGGGTCTCCATGCCTTTTTTTATCCTCATCCCTAGAAAAGGATCTGATCATCCCCCATATGTGTATATTATTATTAAATTATATGTGTGTGTGTGTGTGTGTGTGTGTGTGTTGATTTCAGGCCATTTAAGTACGATTAGTGCTTATTTTTTTCTTTCCTTTTTTGATCTAAACATGTTAATAAAAGTTTTACTATTTTCTTTCCTCATCCCCATAGGTTACTGACAATGTCAAGTACCCCAAAGACGATTGGCCCATGGAAGCCCAAGATCTTCCCCAGGGAGTCTTCCTGCTCATCTCAGTAAGACGCGTGTGCTTCCACTTCCTCATGCAACCAGAGACTCTGTCATTTTCCAAGACTTTGGTCTTGTTAGGTTAGAGACAGGTGAAGTGTCATTTCAGCAGAGGTTCAAGCAGTCGCTGCCAGGGGTTCAGCCGGTGTGCACTCTACATCCCACACAGCCTCTGCCCACTAGTCCTGCTCCTCGTAACACACCTTTGCCCTCCTGTCTTAGGGTGAATGCATTCGTGGCTCATAAGTCAATGCACCCAAGTCTATATGCCTAGAATTGAGAGCCTAGAACACAGCCAGAAATACAATAAAGAGACTCGTAGGTCAAGTTAATATGTAGGTCAATTAATATAAAATAATTATAAGAATGAATTATAGCATGAATAAAAGTATATATAGCTCACAATGGAGTCAGAAGCTAATTTGTACTTTATAATTGTTTACTAAATCAGTTTTGCATAGATTCTTTATGGATTTCCCCAATACACACACGCACACGCGCACGCACGCACACGCACACACACACACACACCTCTTAACTTTAATGACCACCCGAGCAAGTCTAGAGTGATTAGGGCCTCACACTGAATGCACATGGGGAACATGAATTGATCAGCTGCTACTAGAAGGCATAGATTTTAGTGACACCTTTTATCACAAAATTTTGCCTAGAATGAATTTGTACTTAGGTCATTGAAACATGCATCCACTTTCTAGAAATGGCTAAAACAGTCAAGATGCCTCATGCTACCACATCCATCCATCCATCCAACAAATTTTTATTATTCTCAAATGCCTCTTGTGTGTTAGGCATTCGCACACAGTATTTACAGTCGCAGTTGGATGGGGCATAGTTTCACCTAGTATTAACATGTTACCAGATAGTAGAAGATAGCAGTAGGAGATGGATATCTAAAAGGATTTCTAGATCTAAAGAGATAGAGAAACCCTGAACCAAGTTTTTTTTTTCTTTTTTTCATATTAGATGTGCAAATTCCTTTTTGAGTCAAAATGTCAAAGTATATCTATTTCTGGAGTCAGCAGGTGGCATGGTGGTTAAGGCACTGGACTCCCACATGGCTGAGGGTGGTTTGAGTCCCGAACCTGGTGACTTATTCTCTCAGTTCCTCTCTCTCTCTCTCTCTCTCTCTCTTTCTGGGGAGTGCACATGCCCTATAGAAAAATCAAAAAATATTAATAATAATAAATAAAATTAATAGACAATTCTTTTTTAAAAAGTATATCGATTTCTAGCTAAAGAATATGGTAAAAACAGGGACCAGCAGTTGGAGTAATGGCTATGTCACTGAACTCCCATGTAGTCAACCACGGTTCAAGTCCCGGACTCAGCAGCTTAAACTCACACCAGGCGCATGTGCGTCCATGCCTAAGATCCCAGAGAGGAGAATGGAGAAGAAGGGATTGAGGCATGGCCATCCCCCTTGGGGGGGAGGGTGATTTCTCGCTTTCTGTCTCTCCGTTTCTCTCTGTCTGGTGAGCACATGCGCCCTATAGCAAGAAACTCTCCAAAAAAGTATAAAATACTTTAAAAAAAAAAAGAATATGGTAAAAACAAACACACATGCAAATCTGGGCCAACTGATGGATGTGGTAGTTAGGGCAGAATCCCATGGGGCCAACTGCATGATTCGATTCCCAATTCCTGTGGCTTGAAAAACACACCAAGTGTGTGTTTGTGTACATGCTCAAAATCCTGAGAAGAAAACGGAGAAGAAAGGATTAGTGTGTGGCATCTCCCCTAGGAGGTGATTTCTTCCCTCTTCCCCCTCTGTCACTCTGGTGAGAATACATGCCCTATAGCAAAAACTAAAAAGAATTTAGAAAAAAGAATAAAGTAAAAACCCCTATTTATTTGTAAATTATAATAGCCCAGAGGCTATCTAAACTAGTTGGTTTTTGTTTGTTTTTAGAAATGCTTTTTATTTTATAGTGTAAGTGAATAGTACATAAATTAGGAGAAAGAACAGGAGAATGGTGAAAATAGTTAAGAGAACAAATCCCTTCCAGTAGTCTTGTGAAACACCTTTGACTGCAACTAAGGGATATGAAAGCACATACCAACTGATTTTATCACGTAGCTTGAAGACCTTTAGAGTCATAGCCCAATTGTAATTACAGAACATCCTTAGAAATAAGAATAGTACATCCCCACAAAAAAATGTCTGCGATTCAAAGTATTCATACTCTGACTGCCCTTTATCATTACCACCATTTAGTTAGAATTAACGAGGATAGACTCACTAATGAAAGTCAAGAATGTTCTTTATTCTGATGAGACAATACAGTCCTGGGGAGTAGCTTTATAAAATAATTTCCATGGTAGATGCTGAGAAGCTGCAAGTGCAAAAGATGATGGTGCCTGGCTCAAGGCTCGTTTGTGATCGCAAGGGGGTGACATTAAGTTAGTACTGAGAGTTTTTTACTTTAAAAAGCATTAAAAAGCACTTTTTTTTTTCATATTGAAAGAAGTATTGAAAAATGTACCATGAAATTAAAGCCCTGAAAATCTTCAAGGAATCTCTTATTATCTTTGGACCGAGACAAAAAGAAAACTTTGCATATGCAGGAATCAAAACATATGGGCATAAAATATAATTGGTTTGTTGATAAAGATTATATAGTATGCTTTTTATATGTGCAGTGCATGTATGTACAGCTTTGACATGGTAACCTCAATCCATAACCACAGCGATTGTTCACTTGTATAAAATGGGCTTACTGGCTGCTCGAAAAGTCTGGAAAGTTTATTTGTTTAGAGGGGCAGCATAGTTCAAACAAAAACGTCCTGGTCTTCAAGCCCGGAGGTTCAGACCCCAGACTCAGCTCAGTGCTAGCCACTATACAACTAACTGCAGGGAAGTCTATTAACCCAGTCAGCCTAGTGAGCCTCATAGGAAAATAAAGGTTTGAGTGGAGGAAACCTCGAGGGTTCTGTCAGCACTAAAGTTGTCAAACTCCACATAGGAAGCATTTGATACACCCATCAAAGGAAAGCTGTGTATGAAAGCAAATGTTTTCAAAAGTAAATACACAAAGAATTTTTCCAAATTTGGATTAAAGAAGGGAAAACATAGATTTGTTTGAAGCACACACACACACACACATACACACACATGGGCCTATCTGGTATACATTTTATAAGATCCAGTGGTTGTGTTTTGTCCTCATTGGATAAAATGTGGTTTTGCAGGCATGTAGATCACATTGCATTTGTGCATTCACAAGGCCGTTGACTCTAGAAGCCCTTCGTTCTAATTAATACAAGTCCAGCTGAATCAGTAGGAAGAAAGACTGGAAATAAAGGTAGAAAATGAGATGTTAGCACAAATGCTATCACACTGTGCATATCTTTTCATCTGCATAATATTAATGATACCAAATATGCAAACAGATGTTTCTCTCATTAAATTGTATATGCAAATACTACTGGTAGAAGTGGTAATGTTGTCTTGGGGTTAAGAGATCACTGAGGGTAATTAAAGGTTAATCCAGTTTTCAGTTCACAGACTATATGACAAGAGTGGTTGTAAAGAAAAATTGTCACTTAACCTTCAATTCATTACCAATGGCACATGGATTTTCGACTAAAATAACATAAACATATATGTGCTAATAATCATTACTCCCCTCACACACCTCTGCAACGCCGATCACTAGCGACCATTGGCAAAAACTTGTTTTAAGGTGAGCAAAGTTCACTGTTGCCATGCAGAACATTCGTGAGAAAATATACATTTTCTCAAGAAGTGTTTAAGACCCATCTAGAGACAGACTCTCTCAGATCTAATAGGAAAGATTGCAAGTACTTACATCACTGCTCCTCGGCTGCAATTAAGAGCATGATTTTAGATGCTGAATTGAGATGTTGGAGGCTGCAAGGACTTGACTGAGATTGCCCTGCTTTTCTTACAGGGTGAGTTGAAAATAGCAAATAGTTTGGAAAAAAAAATTTTGACGGAAAAGTTTAGCTCACCCGTTGGGGATTTCTCATTTGGAGGGGAAATAAAATCAGCAATTATGGACAGAAAAGTTTAGAATTGGCTCATCTGTCAGAAGAAATAGAAGACTGGTATAAACTTACGTATTTGTAGGAAGAGTTGAAGAAAAGCAGAGGGAGAAAAGGTTTTCCTGCATTTGTGGAATAATAAAAGAGGATTTATTTCCTGATCAATAGTTACAAAGAGCTTACCTTTGGTTTAGTGGGAATCGAGGTTCTGAAAGGGTAATCTCTTCTCTCCCCTTCACTTCTTTAGTTCTTGATTGTACAGCAAACACACAGCCATTCAGTCAGCGTAAAGACCACGCAATACTAGCAGGCAGAATACCTGAAGTCTCCACGCTCCTGTAAATTGAAAGTGTACCTTCCTCTTTGACCATTCCGAGACGCCAATCAAAAGGAAATCCAAAGTTTCATGAGCAGACAGATCCTTAACATTTAATCCTCATTATACATCGAGGATTTTAGCTAAACCCAAACTTAATTTTAGCTCTCATGCCACCAAAATAACTAAAGCTCCTTTCAAAGTTACAATTCTATAGTAAATCTAAGTAAAATCTCAAAAATGAAATAAGAGGTCTTTTTTTTTTTTTTTGCATACTTTCTCATAGGACATAGTACTGGTTTAAAATGCTTTTTAAAATTGCCTTGGGAAAGAATGTATTTCTTGAGAAAATCAGCTATATTTAAGTTGCCCAAACACTCTTTTTCATAGAATTTGAACAATACTCACTTATTGGCAAATCTAAAACAGAGGGTAGTCCCTATAGCTCCAAAGGAACAAGCTACCTTACAGTTTAGTCTGGGATTTCTGTTTTGTTTTGGTTTTGGTCTGCATAATATCAAACAACTTAACTGCTTTTTTTTTCTTACTATGTATTTACTGATTTTTCTTTTCTCTCTCTGTCTCTATTTTTTCCACTTTGCCTAATCAGGATTTGGTCTCCAATAAGAAGGTAGCCCACCTATCTGCATTGCTTGTAATGGATGGGAATGTTGAGCCCTCTTCTTATTTGACCAGCTATCTTTTAGCAGAAAGAGAAAGAGCAGGGTGTTTCCCAGGTCTGAGCTTAAAGTGAGAGGGCAAGGAATAGTTAAAGCGCCTGAGTTATTAGAACATAATATATGCATTTTCCCCTGGGCACATATTAAAAGATCTGATAGCCTGCCCTCTCCCAGTTAATTCTGGATAACATTTGGAGATCTCCAGCCCTACTCTCAGGGGGCTCTTTTAAAATAACGTGGCCCTGTGCTTCTCTATTTGTTAAGTAATTGAGAGGTAATGGTGATTATTACATATTAAGAAGAAGCCAAATTCCCCTAGCACCCAGCAGCCCCCATTAGCAGTGTTCTGCCTCAAATGCATGTAGGTGGGATGCATGAATTTGGGGAGCCAGACTTTGGCTAGAAAGTGTCAGACAGAGCCAATTTCCTTTGCTAAATGTAACAGAAACACACCTCCCTCAGGGCAGAGGCCTTTGATTTTGAGTGATTCTTGGCCTCTCTCCCTACTGCCCTAAAATACAAGGGCTGTTTTTGGTTGATTTAAGTCATGCCATTGACCTGACCCTTCTTCTGACTCGTTCTCATTGACCATTTCAGGTTAACTTTGGCCCGAGCTTGCTAGTGTGTGATAAATCTAGTCCATCTGAAACTCGATTGAGCAGGATCATGAAGACAGGTCATAAACTAGAACAGCACGAGAGAGTTGTCCAGCTGGAATATTTCAGGCAAAGTGCCACAGGAAACAGTTATGAGTAGTGGCCACTGTGGCTTCAGAAAAGCCACCCAACTTCTCTGAGCTTCAGTATCTTCTTCTGCAAGATAGGAAAATACAAGTATTGACTTCAGAAGACATTTTGATTCGATGTCATAAATACAGATGAAGTGCTAAATATCCAATACGATGTCAGCTAGAAGGATGATAATAATCGTGATGAATAATATCAGCCTGTAATTGTGGTATTCTAGGCCCTAGGGAACAGAATCACTTAGAGGATGTATCCAGATGTCTGTAACGTGTCTTCTGCTTTACCTTTGTAGAGTATGGCTGGAGTAAGAGGGTCTAAAATCCAATCCTCATTTAAAATCTTCATTGGATTTTAGAGCCAACCCCACAGCATCTCTTTAAACAATGTCCTATGGCATTTATAATGGCCTCTGGGAGTTGCTGAGTTGCATAAAGAGACTGTCCGCTACATCAGATCTTTAAGTGACATCTTGGGAGGTCACCTTCAAGCCAATATTAAGGTGGGCACTAGAAAATTTTGAAATTCAGCAAGTGTTGTGTATGCCACAAACCAAACCAAGTATGTGACATCAAGATAGATGTTCGGCAAGACAGATGCTCTCTAGGGTAATGCAAGATTCTGGGGTTCCCCAAACCCACATATGCCTTCTACTAGCTCTGAGTTGGCACACACCTCTCTAAGCCTCCATGGCCTCATCTATGGAATGGTTTCTGTCCATGACGTATGGATCATACTACAATATAGGGGAAACACTTGTGCCAAGTAGCAGAAACGAGGGCAATGATAGTGTTCCTTGCATATACCATCTCATCCTGATGTCCAGCATCGGCCATTGGAACACTGTCGGTGTGGACACCACTACTCTTAATCTTAATGGTTTCCTAATTTAACTCATTAAGGGCTCTTAGCACTTGAAAGGGTGTTTAAAAACACAAACCAACAATTAGTCTTTGGGGACCAAAGAATAAATGCAAGCATAATCTATCACTTTTCCTAGCTCAACCAACACCATTTTGATGTGCTAATGGCCTCTAGTGAAGGCAGTAATTTTCATGTAAGTGAAGCAAGCCAAACTACCAATACAGACCTTCTTACAGTCAATCTGCCCTTCCCTGTGAGCCAATCAGGAATAAACATTAATCTGTTATTTATAAACAAACAACATAAAAATGCAGTCATATGTGGACTACAAAATGTACCATCAAGAAATCTGTATCATGTAAGATGCCAGAGACAAAGGTTTGAATGGAGGCTCTGACATAACACTAGCTGTGAACTCAGAAAATAATGTCAACACTATACAACAGTGTGTATGGCAGCCACAACTGATCCCGTCTTCTTGGACCTTCCAAGTTTCTCATCTACAAAATGAGGGCAATGCTACTTGCTGCCCACCTCACAGAATGGTAAGGAATGTGATTTAATATGGGAAACTGTTAAGCAGTATTTAAAATGTGAAGGTGTTGGACTTTGATAACAAAATACGCATAATGGTTAAAAATACCATTAAAGTATTTGCTGAGCAGTATTTAGTACATTCACAATGTTGTCTAACTACCACTTCCATGTTGTTCCAGAAATGGTCATCATTTCAAAAGGAAACCTTATACCCATGAAGGAGTTACTTCCCATTCACCTCTCCCCACACCCTGAAAACCACCAATCTGCTTTCTGTCTCTGTAGATTTGCCTGTTCTGGACATTTCATGGTAATGGAATCATACAGTATGTGGTCTTCTGTGACCAACTTCTTTCACTTAGCATAATGTCTTTGAGTTTCATCATATTAAAGATGTATTAGTAGACTTTACAGATTTTTTTTTGCTTTCTTTTTTTAATATCCCAGAGGGCAAATGTACTTGCCAGGTTTTTTTTTGCAAGAAACACTATATACATTTTAAGTGTCATATTCTTTAAGCCTCGTATTCAAAACGCATGGCTAATAAAAATGATAATCCACCGAGGCTACCTGGTGACGTGGTGGTAAGGCGCTGGACTCCCACATGGCTGACCATGGTTTCAGTTCCAATCTGGTGGCTTGTAAATCACACCAGGCACATGTGTATGCATGCCCAAAATCTCAGGAAGAGAATGGAGGAGAAGGGATAGCAGTATGGCCATTCCATTGGGAGGTGATTTCTTACTTCCCCTCTCTCTATCATGTTGGGGGGACAGTGTGAAAGGCAGGATAGATTCAGCAGGTCGCCAGTCACTTCTCTGGACCCTTACCACATTAGCTTCTCCATTAACGAGATCAAATTGTGCATCTGAGAGACAGAAATAAGAATTCTTCCCACCTAGTGCTGCTGGGAAGATTGAATACCACTAGCTTAGCACACAGTGCCTGGAGTGGAGCAGGAGCCCAAGAAATGTCAGTTCCTCTCTCTTCCCTTCGAGAGTTCAAAAAGGAAAAACACATCTTGATGTTATTTTATGCAGTCTGGCCAAAATATGATGATTTAAAGAACTGACGCAAAGAAAAAAAAAAAAAGCAAATTATACGCTGTGGACACCAATTTCTGAACTGGTATTGGGGGAGGAGACTGACACAAATCCAATCTGGAAGAAAGGGAGAAGGGTGTTCCAGTTCCAGTGGCATTTCACTAGCTACTTTCTTTAAGTGGAAAAAATACAATAAACAAAAGCAAAAAACAAAACAAAACAAAAAAAACAGTGGATAACAGGTTTAGCCTGCCTGATTATGGTTCACCTCAGGGTTCATTTCTAAGACCATCATAGATCGAAGGGCATTGATTTATGAGAAATTAAGGTCCTAATTCTGCAAGCATTAAGCAAAAACAAACTACTTAACTTTAAAGCATGATCTGTAATCATCTTCCATTTCATACGTTGATCTTTGGGTTGCCAGGTCCAGCTTTCATTCCCACTTCCATGAAATCTACAAGCAGTCAGGGACCTTAGGACAAGAAGCTGGAATGTGGATTAAAACCGTCTCGGGTGGAAACCTGGCTCCAGCATGTAGTTACTCTCAGTGCAACTTGCATATGTCACTTAACTGCTCTGAGCCTCAGTTTCTTCATCTGTAAAATGGGAGGGACAATAATAATACCTCCCAGGAGTATTTTAGGGCTCAAATGAGGAAAGGGGTATCCAAGTTCTATCTGTAAATCAGTATCTGCCTGAGGAGGTTGTGAGCCCACTCCAACTGTGAGGCCCAGGAGTGAGGTACTACAGGGAGGTGAAAAGGAACAATGGAGGGAGGAGGAAGCAGAACTTGGTGCCGTTTTTTAATGCTCTAAAAATATGTTCTTTTCAGAATTATTCCCTGAAAATGTGTGCATGCATGTGTGTGTGTGTGTGTGTGTGTGTGTGCGCGCGTGTGTTTTCTGAAATGGATGAAATTTGTCAACAAAATCTTTACTGAACAGGGAACTTTTGCACATCTAATTGCAGAATTTTGCAAAACAAAACAGAAGCTATCTTGCCTGCCTCCAGGCATATCCAAGGGGATTAATTTGTCACTCTTCAACAACAACTCTTTGGAGGGATACCCTCTTTGATTCTCTATTCTCACATTAATTAGAAGTTGAAGGAACACTGCACACACTCGGTATAGGAGAAATTAGGAAAAATA